CCCCAAAACCCCAAAACCCCAAAACCCCAATAAGTATTAAAATATTGAAAATAATAAGTCACATGAATAGCTTTAATGGATCTTCAAAGCAGAGCTCCTTCGTCTTTGACGAAGAGAATTCTGATGATATAAACAATATCGAAGAAATCTCTAAACTTTCCAAGAAAAGCATCTCTCTTACAAGGAAGTCATCCTTTAAAACTAAATTTATGAGGAAGTCATTCAACTATTCCTTCAAACTGGGAGATGCTCTCTCAGATTTCATAGATTCTGCAGAATCTCCAGAACGAAAAGCTAAATATAAGAAAGAGAAGAAGTCTAAATTTACAGTACAATTTTGCATAATTTCCTAGCTAAATCTTAAAAAGGCAGAAATCGAGGAGGATCTCTCTGAAATTGATGAGGAATTCGTAGCGGAAGAAACCACTCGGAAAGTCATGAAGATGTACACTAAATCTCACATCTACGACTATCCACCTATAATCTTCTCTGATTAAGCAGGTTTGATATCTGGAAGAAGCTAGCATCAGGTAAATCGCTGATCATAGAGTTATAGACATCACATCTCCGTTCCATGATAAAGAGTATTATAAGAAGTACATGAAGGTGCAGCAAGAGAAGGAAAAGGATTATCTTAACAGAAATTTACCTTATGAGACTCCATACATCAACTTCAAAATGAGGCATGCTTTGATAAAGAAGAGTAACCAGAATGCATCAACTTTAGAGAAGGAGTTTAACAAGTATCGCCCCAAGACCAGGATTAACAAGATTAGTGGTAGATATCCGTATGAATATTTTAGCCAACAGAAGAAGATCAACACGAGGGTTAGGGCTCATGGCAAATCAGAGTTTGAGTAGGGGTTTCATCTGAAAATATTAGGCCAAGTTATTGAAAGTAGTAAGAAGGCCCCAAAGCATGAGGCAGCCATGGTAAATTCTAAGAAGTAAGGTATATTAAGGAAATTTTGAATTTCAATATCAAAAACGGATACTTTTGATAAAAATAGGTTGATTTTTGTGATGTACATTCATGATAGAAATCTTTTCATGGTTCTTTCTCCAAACTTACCTTGACTTAGGAGAAGGAAATCAACGAAAGAGAATGAAGATTTCAGCATTAATGTAAGGTCCTCTGTTACAAATAGGATGAGGAGTTAAGGAAAGGACTCAACAATTTACAAAATATTTCAAGAAGCATGAAAGATATGATCGAACAAACCAAGAAGAAGGCATATCCTGAAAGGAAAGAGAGAAGAAATGTTATCATGAAGCCTGTTAAGAGCAAGAATTACTCCCAGCAGATTAGTTTGATTAAATCCAGGACTGTGACCAGTAATCCAAAGAATTTAGAGAAGAATATTATTAAAAATATTCTTATAAATGCAAAGAAGGAATTTGAATATGCTAACAAGTTACTATCACCTGTATTGAAATCTTCAGATAATAATAAGACTCAGCAAGACTGTCTTAATGCACCTGCTAAATACAAAGAAATATATTTGAAAAACTCTCTTGTCAATGAAAGCTTTGCAATAAACACCTGTAACATGCCTAGCTAACTATATAGCTCTCAGATCAGAAACCTCTTGGTCTCAGTCTCCTAATCGTACGAAGAAATAACGATAAGAGTTTTTTCTTCCAAGACACTCCTAAAAATGTAAGAGTTTTTAACTATGAGTACAAACTTGACAATTAATGACTGTTCATAATTATTTTGATTTAGAAGCTAAATAAAAACAAACTAGAATCAAAGAGTTCTAAAAAAGTAAATATTAAGACAGAATCCGATAAGCCTGGTGAAAATTCGTCAACTTGTACTGAAGGTAAAAGTCCTTTCTCACCTGCATTGATCAGTCTCTGATTTATTTAAGAAATTTATAATTGGCGGTTATTTGATAATGATCTAGGATCATTTTTATAGAAGACCAAACAATTCATCTACAAAAGAGAGATGTTGCTTCTTCCATTGATTGTAGAAACATAACCAATTACAAGCGACAGAGACCAAGTCTAAGTGCTTACTCGAAAGGCGGTCCCATAATCCAAGACTCTTTTAATAGGACTCAAATTTCTAGTCAAATTTGTAAACCCAAAAATAAAATTAAAGTTGATCGACGACATCAGCACGGTAAACAACGCAAACGCCATAAAAAGACCAAGAAGTTACAGAAGATGAAGAAATTTACAGAGAAGGTATTGAAGAATCTGAAAGTGTTTATCTCAAGTGGGAACAACCAAAGAATATCTATAAAACCTCATTCTCAGCTTTCAAAACCAAGGAAAAAGAAGATATCTCGTAAAAGAAAGCTGTCTTTGACTACTAGCTCTCTTACAAACGCAGGGACAGGTGTAAACTCAACAATAAGAGATAGCTATCAGAACAGCTGAAAGGCTAAGACCTATATATCCCATGGGACTACAATCCAGTCTTCATTCGTAGGTCCAGCATCAATAATAAGAGACTATTAGACATATTTCTAAAATAAATACCGTTTGAGGGGTTTTGGGGTTTTGGGGTTTTGGGGTTTTGGGGTTTTGGGG